CTCAAAGGTGTGGTTTCGAATATTCAATTAAGAAGTGCGTGAAGACTACATACATGCAATCTCTTCCTCTATATATAGAGAGAGGAAGAGTTTCTGGAGTCTTCCAAGAAACTGTTTGACAAATACGTGACGTCAAAAGAATAGAGTAGAAAAGTGTAGAAAAGGAGAAACCAATTTAGCAGTGGAGCAATGGCCAATGCTGAGCGGGGACTTTGGTCAGTGCTTAGCGAGGGCATGGCCCGAGCCTCCATCATGGGTTCCAACCCTCGCACTCCGCTAGTATACCATATTTCTCAACAATATTATGTACTAATCGAAACCAATCTCGGATAATCGTAGGATCCTCGCATTTTGCGCGCTTATAGTCGTATTTACGAGTGTATTTCGTCCGTAAAGAGTCGTGGCGCTTTATAAAGTTGTCAACCCAGCATTTTCCGACAATAATTCGACCTACTTCAGTTCGCTTTTCCAGTAGTAAATCGGCCATTTGGCGTATCGAATCTTTCCGTACTGGCAGACCTCTAGCTTCCATTGATAACATCCATTGTATAAGTGCTGATTCCTCGAGGTCGGTGAGTTTCTGGTTTCGGGGTCGGAAATCGCGTTGTGGAATAGCTCCCTTGACGCGGTCGTAAGTAGTAGAATATGGCGCATCGTACCTTGTACAAGCTGCTTTTAAGCTTGTAAATTGACCCTTATTGTATGCACTGATTGCAAGAGCAATTTGACCTTCTTTTCGAGACATTTGAACAATAATTGGGTAAGTTATGTAGATTGAAAGTGTGTAGGGTGGTCAATGGTGGGGTAAAAAATCCGGACTCCTTATAAATCCGGACTCCTTATGAAGTACGTTATTCTAAACTTTGGAGATGAATAAAAACCGAACCTTACCTAAGCGGTCGTCTGAGTGCCGCCAAGGAAAGCCTGGGTGGAGCCTCGGACACGTGATCTGACGCTAAGATTTTCTCGCGCCAGCGGATTTAAAATCTCAAACTTCGCGTTTTCCTTCCGCCGTCAACAACTTCAAGTTTTCCACCATCAACGATATTTGCAAAGGCAATCCCTCTGTTTGAGGCCTGATGTATTGCGCATCAAATGCCAAATACCGAGTGTCTCAATACATTCTCCGCGACTCTTCTGCAGCGGCTCGCGCACCCAACATTTCAAGGTCAAGGTAAGCTTCCCACTCAATATTTCCTCTACACCAATCCCCAAGTTATCATGATGAACTTTCGTGTCGCCCCTATCTTAAAGAGCTTTCGCTCAGTGGTGATTAACCTGTCTTAACCAAACGGACTATCTGAACATACACTTTCTACTTCCCCTATAATTTTCACCTCGATTATCTTGGACAGAAGCTAATTTGTGGAATGAAGATAGTAAGTGTACCCAATATCTACGAGCGATGGGATGGTTCCCTGGCGGTGCAGTCCCCTCTCTATCGGAAGAGAATATTACATGATGAGCAACACAAGTACTATCAAATACGGAGTCGTCATCGTACGTCGTTGAGGAATAAACTGGTTCGATTACCTGAATATATGTCAAAATTCCGATTTGAGGGGACAAGCGCGCATACTTTCAGGGGATGCATGCTGATCGTTCCAACTTTCAGATTATCCCGATACGGACAATACTTTCTGATGGGTCTGCAAGGTACGTTTTGCGATATTTTTATTTTTTGCGATGTGTGAGAGGAGGGCGGCCTATGATGTTAACTTTCCATGCTAATGCTGAAGACACTATGTGTTGAATGCTGACAAAATCTCGAGACTTTTCATCTTTCAACTGAGGCCTTTCATTATCTGTTCTTGTATATGGGATTTTCTCTCTGGGAAACATCTGCTAACAAGCTTCAAGTGCAGGTTCCTTCCAACATCGTTATGATTATCTCCCCTCGAATCAATTGGAATGGTGGCTACACGCGTGCTTGCACTTAAGCTTTTTCTGTCGGTGGTTCTTGGATATGTCTATGTTGGTCATGACGGCAGCACTACTCTATCGTCATAAGATAGCCTTATATCTGGTTGCCCATACCGTCACTCCAAGTGGAGTGTGACGTCTGGCTGTCCCCGTCTTGTCATCAGTGATACTGTAGAACAAATACACATAGTCATATACGTCTTCCACATGCTTGACTCCCAAATTTGTGATTGCGATTAAATTGTCCTTGCGCCCACAATGTTTTTGTTATTATATCCACCCTTCCAAATGTTTCAATGTGTAGCTGTTTTTACCAGAAATTTGTAACTCTAGCAAACATCAGTCTTCGTACAATACCTCAGCAGATGCTTTCCTTACTAAATCTGCTTTGCAAAGTTCTCTCGTACATTCATTTCACCAGAGCTTCACAAGGAGTTTCTACTGCTAGTGATTTGGATTGAAACTTGAATTCTGCAAAATGAAATTGTAACTCCTTGCTAAATGGCAATTACCTTACTAAGCACGCTCTTCTGTATCTGAATGATTCAATCCGTTACCACCTTGTCTCGTTGGTATCACTTTAGCAGTTGTCCTTTCTCTGTGTATATTTCTTGGATCGTTGAATGATTTACCCCATTCTGGTGACCCAGAGGCCAGAGGGGGGGTCGCTAAGAAGACGGGGCCTTCGGCGTTTGCGCGAACAGAAGAACGCTTTAATGTGAACTAATATAAGCAACTTCAGATAAAACATATTCAGTGATAATCTGATGACTAGAAGTTCACTAAAGCTACTTTCTGCTAACTGAATACTTTCTTGCAGACTGCAAGGTGACGAACTGTATAATAAAAACTCACTCCCTTCAATCTACCAACTCAGGGTGTCCCACGCAATGGCAGCTGTCCGATTGGGCACCCGAGAAGTCGCCTCAACTGAGGAGTTACCCAACTGAAATGCATTTTCGGTTGACAGTGCAGTTGCTCACCTAAACTTCCCCTCGATATAGGGTTCTTCGTCTGAAAAATGAGTTGCGCGCAAGTCAGTTTGAAATCGACAGCAGGAGAAATTTTGATGGCAACCGTTACAGTATCTCATGGTGACTGTGGAGTTTCATGGGGCTGATCTGAGCAACTTGAATGAGGTGAAGAGAGAGTTATTGCGTTGCTTCCTTCTGTGATGCGAAATTTGGGTAAGCTCTTTGGTCTCATGTGAACCCGTCGAGTCTACTCCATACTTTCTTTTTCCCCATAACCTAGCACGTCCAGGTAGAGATTCCTTTTTATACGAAGGGCGGTCTTCTTTTTACTACGTAAGTATTATCAAACAAGAGGGCTGGGGGCTGCCAAGAAGGGTAAAAGACAACAGAAAGTTCGTTGACGAGCTCGTCTACGGAACTAGTGATGATTGTGAAAGTGACTCCTCAAGTACGTCTAGTTCTTCTTGGTGTGGTATACTAACATTCATGAATGGACCAAAAATAGCCTTTCTAGCAGATCCCGTAGATTCGAGAGCTTGTAACTAATTAGGAGTAAAATAGATATCGTCTACTCCTTTTATTGCTTGATCAAAGTTTAGGGAACCAAATGCGGTTCGGTCTAAGAAACTGGAACAATCGAATGGTTACAACTGCTGCAATACTGGAAAGTCGCAGTTGCCTTGTAAAGCACCGGTTGAAATACAACAGGAAGTCCACTTCCATGAACTACTGGAGCTATTTGGCCCTACAAGGCTGCCTCTATCTATTGTCGATGAGAAGTCCATGGTTCGATTAGACCGCATAAGTCTTATTGGTCACCCGCTTCGATCGCCTGCTCTAAAAATTAAAATGACATGTTAGGTAGAATAACTGTACTTCAGGTTAATGACTTCTTGCAACTTTTCCATGTAGATGAGATAGCTCTGTACAGGCCAATTGCTTCCATGGAATACTCTAAACAAGAACTTTCGCTTCACCATACAAATCTTCAAAGAGAGTGGAAAGACTTTTCTTCTCCGAGATACTTGATGGCTTGCGTCCCGCTACTCGTAGTGAAGAAATAGTTTTCACTGCTAAGCAGTACTTCACCTAACTCTGAACCTGAATATAATACTCCATATGCTCCCCAGGCTATCGACAGCAATTCTCTACCGTAATAGTGAAACAAATACCGAATGATGAACATTCAGATTCTGGACTCAACAATTTCTATTCATGTAAACTTTACTTTGATTCACGTATTCATGATTCAACGTTTGCCCATGAATGAGCGGCCCAACTGTTGGCAAATTGCCTCTGTTTTCAGTGGGAAGGAGCAACCATTTTATGTAAAAGGTCAAACTGGGATTTCTCTTGAGGAATAGATGCGAAGCGTTCCCAGTCTTTATATACCGGAGATCACAGAGATGTTGCTTGAGCAACTGGTGAATAAATTTATTGAGACCCGTTCAGATATGCCTCACATTCTTGACGTACGTTGCATCCTGGACCTTTAAGTTTGGATTCATTACACCTGATATGCATGCTTCACTTGCAGAAAATAAGCTGTCGTTATTTTTACGTCGACACGACGACAAGTCAAAGTAGTACCAACTAGCGGTGCTAAGAGAACGGTCTGTTGTAAAATTGCCTTGTGACATAACGTCTTGTTGTGCTGGGTCTACTTTCTCTTTTGCTCCAATTCCTGATTTGATCCACTTATAGCTCTGCTGCCTAAATGCTTCATGTCTGCCTAAACCTTACACTCTTTATATAAACACCTTAGATAGCTACCTTTTACAATGCAATCAATTCTCCATGACCTTCAGTACCCAATACCCTTTCAACCCAAT